TGACACGAGGCCGGCAATAAGACCCCCAGTTTGATGGGGTCCGTGTTGTGCATGATCTCCACTAGTTGGGCCTTCATACTTGCTAGCAGGCTGGTGACAATATTCACCCAGCACATGGGACGGGGGGAGGGGGGTGTCTCGTTTGGGGCCTCTGCTTCTCCTGCTTGGTCTCCGGTAGGTACTTGTGGGCCAGCTACAGCAGCTGAGTAGCCGTCTGGCGGTGCAAGACCTGGGTGAGCTGGCTAATGGTGGTGGCACTTGTAGAGGATTGCCCTTTGTTGCTGCAGTCAGATGTAGCAGGGCCATTTGATAAAGTGTGAGGTCCCTTTTGGGGTGGATGTCCTATCCAATGTCGCCACATTCTTGGCCTCCTGCTTCTTGACCATGGTGGATGCCAGGGCCACCTTCTTCTCCTTGGCCTTCTTGCCCTTCAGTATCTTGGGCAGATGGATGAGAGAGTTCATAAGTATATCTTGAAGCAGACTGTCAACATTGGTTCAAAGTGCTGACCTTTTAGTTAGCAGCCAGGTAACTACCCCCTGCGTAACCAGGGTCTTGATACTCTCTGCTTCGACTTGAGTGGTCAGAGGCCATCAGGAGTGCTAGCATGGTCCCATGGTACCCTTTGGAAATGGAGGCCAGGACCCGGAAATAGAGACCAGGACCAGGAGAGTGACTTGTCCTAAGTCACACAGGGGTAGCCTGCAGAGCTGGGGTGCAACCCTGGCTGCTGTGTCTCCTCTGCTGCCCCCTCACCTTGGATCCTTCCGGGAAAGTTGGAGCCTAGGGGTCTTTGCCTTACAATACCATCATCTGGACTTGCATCTTTAAATGGATAAGCTGGGGTGATGCCCAGCTCATAGTAGGTCTTCAGAAGAAGACACTTGGCAAAGTGTTCGCATAAAGATTACAGGCAAGAAAATCCTGGGAAGCTCAGCTGAAGCTCTGACACCCATAGGATCACTGTAGGTTGGAGCCACACAACTGGTTTTACTTAGTCTAAGGTATAGAGAGGGCACAGTGGGGATGGATTGACTTGGCTCCATACAGTGTCCTCTGGGGCCAGGACTAAAGAAAGGCAGTTTCTTGGCACTAGAGTCTCACTCTATGTATGGGGGGCTTTCCTGTCACTGCTGGGTGAGATCCTTTGTTCTTCATGGTTGCCCACGACCCACCCTTCTCCCTGCATGACCGCAGCAGTAAGGCTCCCATACTTGTTTGGTTTTTTTTTTTTGTTTTGTTTGGTTTTTGTTTTTCTTGAGTACTGTCTAATCGGATCTGACTGGCACAGGAGGAGATTGCCTCTCCTTCTCCAGTGGAGCATCTGGTGGACTTGAACCATGCACCTTCAGAATTCCAGTGCAGCTTCTTGCCACTAGGCCACCAGAGCTCCCTAAGGCTCCCATACTTGTGACATAGCAGTTTGATATCCCAGACATTGCAGAATCAAAAGTTGCCTGGTATCTTCTTCCTTTTTTTTTTTTAAAAAAAAAAAAAGCAAAAAACACACCACCACCCCAAGCCATTTTTTCAAAATCTGTTTCATAAACCATAGACTTTCATGTTGAATATATACATCCAGTTAGTAGTAACTCCCAGAACATTTTCATCAGCCTGTAAAGAAACTTTATACCATTAGCAGCCACATTCCATTTTCTCCTCCCATCATCATCTCAGCAGCCATTAATCTATGCGTTTGCCAGTTCTAGATATTTCACTTAAGTGGACTCATACATCTTGTGCTCTTTTGTGTCTGGCTTTTTCCAGTCAGCATAACATTTTCAAGGTGCATCCTTTTTACGGCCAAATTATGTTCCCATTGTATGAACGGACCACATTGTGTTTAACCATCCATCCACTCATAGACACTGGGCTATTAGGAAGAATGCTGTTGTGAACACGTATCAACAAATCTTTGTGGGCACTTCTGTTTTCCATCCTCTTGGGGATATTCCTAGGAGTGGGGTTCAGTTCGTGACCTGGAATGACCAGAGAGTTGCTTCTCCGGTATTTCCTTGGCTGGAGTTGCAGGCCCAGCCCAGAGTTGTGAGGGCTTGAGTATCAAAAGATGGGGTTCTCAGCCTGGAACCTGACACACAGTAGGTGTTCATCAGTGAATGTTACTCTTAGGCTCTTTATTGCTAAAAATAATAATGCAAAACCAGGGCAGTAAGTCAAACACAAATGGTTAGGATTCAGATCTGAATCCACTCTTATTAGAAGATCATTGATAGACTGCCATACACCAAATGGTAAGAGCCGTGAAGGCTCCCAGAGGCTAGAGACTGACCTCAGCTTTTGACAAGGTACATCAGAGGCCATACGAGTTCATTTAGAAATTACAAAACGTTAGGAGGAAAAGGGGGTAAAAAAATCACCTGTTTTTCTACCCATTAGAACTACTGTAAATATTTTGCTTGCTTCTAGTATTTTTGCTGTGCCTGGTGTGCACAAGCACATATTTTCATTGTGCATTAAATGCGTAAGCCTATAAAAAAGGCTTCCTGCAACCCCAAGGACCTTGAACCCCATCTCTAGGTACTCTGACATTCACTGATACTGTTAAATGAGCTTTTATGTGGCGTAGGTGCTTTTTTATAAAATCCTTTGGATTGTTAAAATCCGCAAACGTGTGTCTGAGTGGGATTTTGTTTCATTTGTGCCCTTACAAGGATTATTGGGGAAATGGCAGCCACTTCATTCTGTGATATGCCCAGGACTCCCAGGGCTTTAAGGTGCCTGGCTGCCCTGCCCAGTTTGCCATCAAGCGTGCTGTAGATGTACTTTGCGTACAGGTTTCTGAAGCTACTTTCCAGCCGCTTCCTAGGATGGGTGGGAGGGATCATGGACTTAGAGCTACTTGCTCTTCTTTCCTCTTCTGGGGCTACCTTGCTAAGAGGTCAGGCAGCTTTCTCAAGGGTGTTAAAAGCACAAAAGTTCTCTGAGGACGGCAGGGTCAGAACACTCAGGTAACTAAAGGACACAGCCTTGGAGAAGAACCATTACTACAAGAAGAGTTACCTTGCACTCAACCTTTGTGGAATGGGCGGGAGCTGTTTCAAGTGTGTCTTCCTTGAAGCAGAAGGCTGGCTAGGTGAACAAGTGTCTGCCTGGATCTAGGAGGAGTTAAGCATACTTTCAAGACTCCTATTCACTGCCTATTTCATTTTTGCCATTACAAGCACCCTTATACAGACAGTATTAATGAGTAATTCTGTATTTGTGTGTGTGTGTGTGTGTGTGTGTGTGTATGCATGTTCATGTGCATATATTTGTTTCACTCATTCACGAAATATTTACTATAGCCTCCTGTGTACTTTGTTAATGAGTGGCCTAAGTGGTTTCAACTGAAAGCTGGGAGGTTCAAGTCCACTCAATGGCACCATTGAATAAAGGCCTGAGAATCTGCTTCTGTAAGGATTACTGCCAGCAAAACCCTTGGAAGCCATTCTTCTTTGCACATAGGGGGTCAACATGTATTGAAAGTGACTCAAGAGCTATAGATTTGGAATTGGTGCTTGTGCCAGGTATGTGGGATGAAGTATACGTATGGGTCTATATAGCTCTTACTTGAGGATTCGTTCATTTACTTAGGTATTTAATAAACCGTTTTCTGAAGTACACCGCCAGGGTCTTCTTCCATGGCACCTATAGATAGATGCAAACTGCCAGTTTTTCCACTAACAGCCAAGCTTGTGAACTGCATATTCCATTTAGTGACTAAGAAGTATTTTGCTATCAGAGTTGTTACTGAGACAAGTCAGTACCTTCATTGAACTCAGTGGTGATGTTAATATTGCTGCTTGTTTAGAAAGGTAAGTCTAGAGCTTTTCAAACTTTTTCTTTAAATGAGCTGCCCTGTACACAACGAAAGGCTTGTTTCTTGGTAAATCTTGATTAAAAAAGGAAATCCCTATTATTTCAGAGTTAGAAATTCCAAGAGGCAACTTGCATGTGCTTGGGGAAATATTTGACGTGAAAGGACATCTTTAAATAGTCCAGTAGCCAACATGGGCCCTATACACAAAGCATCTCATTCTAGAAAGGAGAGTTAATGGAGTAGTCAGCCCTTATTTTTCCTACAAATGTGTCGAACTTTTTCACGTGTGTGGAAGCAAGAAACCGCAACCACTGTGCAGAAGCAGCAGGGTTTTTGCAAATAACAAAACGCTTCCCAGAAGCATGACAAATCCAAGACTAACAGGTGTAGCATATAGATTCAAGGCGCCCTTGTGGCTCTCATCAGCTGTCATCCTCCTGTTTTAAACTTGGGTCTTGAAAACATCAAGTTACTTCTCCGAGCTGCAGCTGGTAATTCTCCAAATACCTGTTCTCAGACTAGCGTTTCTTCTAGAGCTTCCATAGAAAAAGGAGAAGCCCTTAAAACATCAGCTCTGAGTTTGCACTCTCTGGGTGACCCTGAGCCTCAAGTTGCCTCTTTTGGTTCAAGAGAGTTTCCGCTTTCTGGTATCCCCAAGCAAAGCAGGGTGGAAGGGCCTTTCAACCCGGGGTTAGCAATGTCTGGCGGCATTTGTAGTTGCTTCCAGGTGGAGGTGAAAGGTGCTAAACTCGTAAGCAGAGGCCAGGGATGCCATCTTACTGCAAATAACCGAGTGGCCCCCAAATCATTGGTAGTAGAGGTAGGGAAGCCTAGGTTTGCAACCCTGGATTCAGTGCAAGGGGACTGGCGTTTCAGCTTTGGAGACACCCCCCCCCCCAGGTGCGTTATTTCTCCCGTTTTCGCGCAATGAAGGGGACTCCTGCTCCAGACCCACGCTAAGAAGCGAGGAACGGGGCCCTCTAAAAAAACTCCCCAGGTTTTGAATCGCGCAGATCCACAATAGTGATGTTCGGTAGCCTCGCTCCCGCGCAAAAATCGCAAAAGGGATGTCTGTGGTCTAGCGCCCCACAGCTCGCCCGAGGGTTTGAAAGGTTTTCGCGTGCGGCTATCCCGCCCCAGGCACGCCTCGCCCACTCAGTCCTCTCCCGCTCCCCTGTAGAGGATCCCCTGCTGCCCCAGGTTCAAGGTGTAGACGCGCGCAGATGGCTCGTTTCCGTCGGAAGCTGCCGGCGCGGCGGGGGGGGGCGGAGCCTCGAGCGACAGCCGTTGCCCCGTCCAACCGCCTCCCAACGGCTCCCGGGCTGGACAGTGGGGCGGGGCGGTGCTGCGGCAGTGCGCCTGCGCGCGCATGCGCCGAAGCGCGGGGCGGGGCGCGCGCGCAGCCCCGCCCCGGCCCGGGGTCTATGCCCGCCCCATCTCCCAACCTTCTCAGCGTGGCGCCGACGCTGCGTGCGGCGCGGGTTACCCAGAGTGCTCTGCGCGGGGGTAGCTCACTGGAGTTTGGTTCTCGAGGCGGCGGCTCCAGTAGCTCCGGCGGCTCCTCCTCCTCCGGTTGCCGCGGCGGCCCGGCCCGAGCGCCGGCCCCGGCTCCCTTCTTCCGCCACCCCGCGCGCCCACTCCCGCCCCGGCGCCGCGGGAACATGCGGCTCCGCGCCCGAAGGCCGGCGAGTAAGTGACCCCCGTCCCCCGCCTCAGCCCGCCCGCTGGCCTGGCCGCTCCCCCCCCGCCTCGCCCAGGCAATGACAGCGGCTCCGGCGTCTCCGCAGCAGATCAGGGACCGGCTGCTGCAGGCCATCGACGCACAGAGCAACGTAAGTATCCGCCGCGCGGGCTGGGACGGAGGCCGCGTGCGCCCGGGACCCTCCCCCCCCAGTACCCCGCACTCTTCGGACCTCGGTAGACCTGTCCGGTGCCCCTCTGTCCCCGAGGGCCGCTGCCATCCCAGCCTCTCGTCTCCCGTGTCCAGGGCCAGGTCGAGCAGCCCGGTGGCGCCGGGTACGTGAGGCCGAGGCTTCCGTGAGGCCTGGGCGGAGGGAGCAGACGGGGAGCGAGGTCACAGTCTCACCTTCCTTCACGCTCCAGCTCGTGGACCCCCTCCTGCTCGGGACGAAGCTCCCCTGCCTAGCGCTCCCCCCAGGCTTCCAGACCCCGGGGAAGCCCTCCCGGCGTGGGGGAGGGGAGAGAGCAGGGCTTTGGAGCAACTGGTGTCTCGACCATGACTCGAGGAGCCCGTGCTTCCAGTGCCTCGCCCTTCGGGGTGACCACGGAAGCCCTCCTGGCTTGGCCTCCACCCGGGAGCACCTGCCTGCTTCGGAGGGAAGCTCCCCCTCCCCCCTCCCGCCTGCTCCGTCCCCATCAAGTGCCTGGGCGCATGCAAGGGCCCCCCTCTGTTCTGCCCCTGGACCTGCCATTACCGGATCTCTCTCTGGGTCACTGAAGACAGAAAACGACTTCGTGGGAGGGGGATGGGGATGGGGTGGGATTCTTCCTGTTGCTTATCTGAGCGTCAGTGACCCCTGTGGTTCCGACCAAGCTAGGGAATCCTCCGGTTTGGTAGTGAATCAGAGCCGGTGCTTTTCTCGGGGTGGGGGTGGGGGTGGGGGAGGGGGGCTGCAGTAGCCCTGCTTCAGCCCCCCCATCCCCCCACCTCGCGGTCACAGCATGGTGGTGCCTGGTGCGTGATCCGGGCTGATGGGGTTACCTTCAAGATGTTTTTCTCAAGTGCCCCCACCCCCAGGCTACCGTTTGTGGAGGGAACCCTTTGCTCCTAGTGTCTAAGGGGGAGGCCCCTCGTATTCTCATATTTTCCTCAAGACTTTATTGGCAGTCGGGGTCATCTTTTCCTGTGGCAGGAGCAGATGGGGCAATGGGAAGATGCAGTGGTACCCAAGTGCAGAGTGAGCCCCTGCATTTGCTGGGTGACCAGGAAGTGGCCTTTGAGGTCAGTTTTTAATGTGCTGGGCATTGAAGGAAAAAAGTCACCCTGTGCTTGGCCAGGTAACTCAGATTATTTTTCCTTGTTATAGTAGATATAATTTTTTCTTTCGGTGTGTTTGGCTGCACATTCTTAGCAGTATGCCTTTACCTTCATGGAATACACATTGGGTCATACAATTGTGGTAGAAATTGGAGGGTTATGACCTTTTAAAGCTTCTGATTTATATGTTATGGTAGTTCTCTGGGCTTTAGATCTTCCTGAGATTACTAATGGTAATTGTTTAACAAATACACTATATATTTTTCATTGTGTCTTTGGGGTTGAGGTAGCCACACGCTTGTATAAAACCTTTCAGAATGCTTTGGTCTATGAGAAGACTGGTAAGGTGTTAGCACTGATTCTTAATGCTGCTGAAGAGAGCTGGTGGTGCTGCAGATGAGGTGTGGCAGTAACCACAGGGGGATCCAGGGTCTGTCAGAGCTCTCATATAAAGAGTTTTTAGGATTAAAGGAGTGGGGAAAGGAAAGGGGACAAACTAGGGGGTCAGGGAGGAAACAAACCTGTTTTGTGCATCTTTAGTTGTATGGAAACAGTCGTATTCATATTGATGGGGTATTCAGATTACATATGGGCCATTTTGGGGAGCCAAGCTCGGGTGGGCTGATGGTAAATAATTTCATTGTCAACCCAGAGACATGCAGTTCACATCTACCAGCTGCTCCTTGAAAGATGGGCAGTCTCCTCCGTGCTCTTCATAGCCTGTGAAAACCTGCTAAAGAATAAGCTATGAGTTGGTTCTGACTCGATGGCACATAATCCATATACATGTACACGGGTGTTCTAAGGCCATGGTTTGTATAGTGATTAACGTGCTGGATGTTAATCAAAAGATTCCAGTTTCTAGTCGACCCAGGGGTGCCTTAAAAAAAGACTTGGAGATATGCTTCCCAGAAATTAGCCATTAGAAACCCTATGGAGCATAGTTTACTCCGACATGTGGAGGGCACAACAACTTCAGATTGCCTCAGTGACAGCTGTTGGTATGCTTAGAGGCTTGCTAAAGTGTATGGAACTGGGAAATTGTCTCTGAATATATGAGGCATGATGAAAGCACTTTTTTAAAGTTATCATTATTGTCAGTGAATGTTTTTAAAGGCTGTTTGTCTGGAGCATAACTTTCAATGACCAGAGTGGGAACTTGAGCACCATGTAACCATACGTGGCTGTGGTTGGCCTGGCTCAGGTGAGAGTGAGGTTGCTTCATTGTAGGCCTTACTGCCCCACGGCTGCTGTCCTGAACCTTGTCCAGTCATGGCTCTCAGTTCTGGATAGTTGGTTGACACATATTTAAGATGCTTATGGAAGAAAAAAAAATAATGGGGACAGTGTTGGAGAGGCAACACTAAAATTAAATCTCTTCTGAGAGAAGCAGTGGAGAATTGTGCCATGTAATACTTACCTTCATGAGCATGAATTTATGGTTAACAAATATAGCTTTTGCTGGGAACAAGACAGACCCCTGACCTAATATCCACAAGTATCTGGTAAGTTAGAGAGGCAGAGAGCAGCAGCGTGAAGTAACAAAGTAACATTTGCTGGCCACTGTCCCCCTGATGCATGTCCTCTAAGAGGAAAGTGTTTCTTTGCTCTGCAGTTCTATCCTCTGGAGTATTTTAATTTCTGTATTATCAGATTCCTAGTTAATAATTTTTGCCAGTGCATTAAAAAGGTAAATCATCCGCACTCCTTTCTAAAAAAGTAGCTCACAATGTTTTTAAGCAGGTGAAGCCACCCCTGTGTGTTAGCCGAGAGGGTGGAAGTCTGTCTGCAGTGCAGTGGACACATTTGCTCAGTCTTACTTGGTGATGAACGCAGTCCTTGGCTGTTGTGCCTTACTGGGTATAGAAGGCTAACCTCAGGCTTTTCCCAGCAAGTGACTACATCTCGTTCTTCTCACCAGTACATTATTTCTCCAGTGTGCAGGCTTTGCCTCCCAACCAGAATGCAGGCTGCGTGAGGATGCCACATCTTGCCTGCTCTCAACTCAAACAGAAGCTTTTCGGGGCACACCCAAGTGCTGGTTAAGTGGGCTGCACTTCAGGCTCTTCCTCAGACCCCTCCCTGAGAGTTCTACCTGAACCATGGGGACTGCTAGTGACTCTGTCATGGTGTGGCTCAACATCCAGCTTGGAGAGTGGGGATGGTTGAAGGTTTCTTAAAACACTCCTCTGGAACCAGGAGGGAGATGGATGTCAAAGAGGTATTGCACCTCATGTCTGTCTGAGACAATAATATGTACGGTGTACCCTGTAACAGTGAAAGCATTTTGTCACACACAGTGTTGTGCATTCCTACAGGGGAGGCTGAAAAGGGTGTTGCAGAAGGAAGGGCAGTTGCATTAACCCTGGACATGTGCACATGCCTCCACTGGTCAAGTTCTTCAGCAGGAACCTCCTTAGTCACTGCTGGTGGTTTTTGCCCTCACACTCCTGCAGAGGTTTAGATGAAGCAAAGGCATGGAGCGTCCACCTAGAAAACAACACCTCTCTGGGAGAAGATCAGTGCCTGTGGGATGGTTCTGGGTGTTCTTGGTCCTTGCTGCTGAGGCTCCTTAGGGCCAAAGAAAAGGCTGCATTGTGGTGACTGGGACTTCGACGGAGAAGCATGCACAAGATGGACCTTTTCCTCCTGTGGAAGTGGAAAGCCCCTCATCTGAAAGTAGGATTGGGGATGAAGGTCCAAGTCCCTTAAGGATCCAAGACTGGATGCAAGGCAGCTGAGGTGGGTTGTGATAGAAGGTGGGGTTTTGGGTTTATATTTTAAATATTAGTACAAGATGCCTTGTGACAACTTTCTAAAGTAGAACAGGTCTAAGCAGAGGTGTGCATGTTACCTATATAGTCTCCTTTCTGTAGTTAGGAGCTCTGTAAGGAGATTTGGAGTGAGTGTCTGGTCTTTCTGTGTTTTGCAGGTGCAAAAAGCATTGTGATAATGTTAACTATTGCTGAGTTAGCCACCGATTCCTAGTGACCCCATGGACAATCAGAAAGCTGCCCTGTCATGTGCCATCCCCCTGAGCAATTACAAATCAGGCTGTTAGGCCCCAGAGAATTTCATTGGCTGATCTTCTGATGTAGAGTGCCGGGCTCTTCAGGCTTGTCTTGGTCTGGAAGGTCTTCTGAAACCTATTCAGCATTATAGTAACATGAAAGCCTCCTCTGATAAACATGGTGGCCGTGTGGAAGATGTGCTGGCTGGGGATCAAAACCCAAGAAGTGGGCGCCGCTAATTGAGATGCTTTTGTTCCTTACTCTGTAAACTGCTGTTAAGTGGCTTCGCACAGTTAGGTGCTTTTATTTAGTGATGGTGCTCTGAGTTAAAACCCTGCTCAGCAAAAGGCTGGTGATTTCAACTCATCCAGTGGTGCCTTGGAAAAACCTGGCAGTCTGTTTGTAAAGATTACAGTTTTGAAAACTGAGAATTGACAGCTTGATGGTTAGAGTTGTTAGAAGCCTGTCCATACCTCAAGCTGTTTCTCCTTCATACTCCAGGGCCTGTAATGGAGTGAGTGGAAGCTGCCATTTTCAAAGCTTTAAACACTTAGGAAATTGGCTTAAAATAAATGCCTTTGATCTTGCAGCAAATGGGTCTTATGGGCTATAAAACAGGAGACTTATCTTTCAAGTAGAGTTGTTGTGTACCATCAAGTCAGGATTGACCCATAGGTGATCCTTCAGCAGGTTTTCAGAGGCAGTAAATTTTGTGGGAGATTGCCCATCTTTCTACTGTGGAGCATCTGGTGGATTTGAACTGTGTACCTTTGTATTAGCTGTGCAGTTTCTTACCACTTAAGCCCAACCTCAGCAGGATAGT